AATTTTACAAGCACCCAAGTACTTTTTATACTGGTTGAGATATTCTTATCAAAATAAGTGAGTATAATCAGCCAACTTATCATCACAAAATGCATACGAGTAGGCTCCCATGGAAAGTAATTTATAATTCTAGGGGGGGCACACACATTTTTCTACAACAAACATTTCTAGCACATAGTTTATTATAGTAAATATTCATAATTGTAAAGTCAGAAGTCAGCAGTCCTTGGCATTTTGAAAACAAATTTTATGATATTAGGAAAGTACTTTGCCTCTTTTAAGAAATAGGCTTATGCAGAAACTAAATTTTATGATAACAAGTTACAGTATATTTCATGGTAATTGCTATGTAAATAATCACTGATCTTTTTTTTTTATCTACACAAGCAAAGGCTAATGGTTAATCCAGGTCTTTACATTTTCTACAGTATTGTAGTCTTTCAAGGCTCCTCATACTGAAATTCGTGCTCTCTGCTCATCTAAGTTTTAATTAATACTAAATTTAAAATGTCAAAGTTTCTATTTTTCATGCAGTTACTTCATTTGAAATTTATTTTTAACCTATGGTATAAAATAACAGACATTTTAACCTATGATAATAAGAGAAGGTTTTAATATTTGTTTTGTCATCATCATCATCACCACCTTCATCATCATTTGTGGTGTGAATTTGTAATAGCAGCTGTCTGCCTCCCTACATGGTTTTTCAATATCCTATTTACCCTAAGATTTAGGTTTCCATTTTTATCTGAAACCTATTCTGACATTTGTTAAAAACAGCAAGATAGATTTTATTGAATAAAATAGGGAATAAACTATGGCTGTAGAGGAGAGAGACTAAACTCAGAATACAACAGGGAGTAGTAGAACTTTATCGCCAGGGGACAGAGAAAGGGAGAGAATGGAATAGTTCTAAGAACAACTTGGTCAGGGGCACCTAGCTGGCTTAGTCAGTGGAGCGTGTGACTCTTCATCCTGGGGTTATGAGTTCAAGACCCGCGTTGGGCATAGAGATTAAAAAAAAAAAAAAGAAAACAAAAAAAAGAGAACAACTTGGTTAGGTATCAAGAATTTGGTTAGATATTAATGGTGGAGGAACAGGGATTTGACTGACTATTAAAGGTGAGGATATGCTCCATGAACTGGCTTAGCAAGATTCTTTGCTAAAACTGCTCAGCAGTCCCACAATGAGGCCTAATGAAGAGATCTCAAAGGAGTCTGGCTAAATTCTGGTCAAACAGTCTTTGTTATCACAAACCAAGTCCTCATGTATGTGTGACTGTTTCTGGGCTGTTATATTTCACCGATTAATGTCGTGGACTGATTGCATCCCCTCAACAAATTCATATGTTGAAATCCTAATTCCCTGGGTGACTGTATGGAGATCAGGAAAAAAGGAAATTACGAGCATAAAGGTGAGGCCCTAAATCCAAAAGAACTAGTGTCCTTATAAGAAGAACAAGAGACGTCAGCACTCTTGTTCTCCACCATCCCCCTTCCTGTGTGTGACACAGGGAAGGCCATGTGAAGCCATAGTAAATAGGGAGTTATCTCCAAGCCAGGAGGAAAGCTCTCACCAGGAATTGCTTGGCACCCTGACCTGGGACTTCTAACTCCAAAGCTGTGAGAAAATCAAATCTGTTGTTTAAGCTATCCAATCGATGGTATTTTTTATGGTAGCTCTATCAGACTAATACAATCTGTTTTTGTTTTTTGTTTGCTGTGTTAATACCCAACTTAATTACCATGTCTTAATTACCATGCTATTATTTTGAAGGAAGATTCCTTCCTGTTCCCTTCTTTTTAGATTATCTATTTTTTCTCCATATTGGTATAAATTGATTTTACAATAAGTTTGCCTAACTGTAAACAATATCATTGACATGTTTATTGGAATCTTATTGGTGTTAGTGAAATTCTTCACTTTGTGAAGAATTGAAATTCTAGGATATTGATTTTTCCTATCTATGGAAACCTATTTATTCAGATATTCTTTCCATTATGACATTTCATAACACATATACATTTATTCATTGATATCTTAGCAGTTCATTGCAGTTGTAAGTGGTATATTTTCTCTATTACATTTTCTAGTTGGTATATGATAATATGCTGTTGATATGATGTCTCTTTTGCCTGGAGTACTTCAGTATTTTTCCTACAAATCAAGGTCATTCTCTTTCATAATCACACTGCAATTGAGAGTTTACAAATTTCACTTTGGTGGATGTTATTATAATTTTCTATTGCTCTTGTTCAAATCTCACGAACTGTCCTAATAATACACTTTATAGGTAAAGGTAGGGGAAGATTTAAAAAAAAATTCTGGTCCTAGAGCCACTCCAGAAGCACACATTGCATTTCGTTGTCATGTCCCTTTAGATTCATTTAATCTAGAACAGGTCCTTAGTTTTTCCTTGATTTTCACGAAGTTGGCATTTTTAAAAGTTCAAGGCCATTTATTTCGTGGAACAGCTTTCATTTTCATTTTGTTATTTTGTCACGACTAGGTTAAAATCACACATTTTTGTCAGGAGCATCATAGTGGTCCTGTAGTAAGTATAATTTACAGTAAGTATGTCATATCCTTGAGAATATGCTGTCAACTTGGCCCATTACTGATCATAACTTAAGATACCTGATTATCTTAAGTGTGTATATCTGCCGGATTTCCTACTGGAAGGGTACACTCTTTTTTCCACTTGTAATTAATAAACTTTGAAAATGATGTGAATATTCTAATTCTAATCACACTTTCACCCACAAATTTTAGAGTGTATTCCAGATTCATGCCTCACTAAATTAATTATATTATTATTAGGAAATGATTTCCTAATTTCATCATTTTTTCTACATTTATTTGTTGGCATTCCAGTGAAAGGAATAGATCTCCCTTCTATTTAATTTATTTCTGTATTTCTGTATTTGTTTGTATCACCACAGGTCTCTGGATTCTCATTTTGTTTGATGAGTAACTTTATTCTGATGCTAAAATTCTCCCTGATTTGGCCAGCATGAGCCCTTTCCTTCTGGCTTCTGTGTTCCATTGACATATCCCACTGTTTTGGAGCATCTCCTTACTTTCTGGCACGGGTATTTCCAATTCATCTGCAGGTTTCCAGTCCAGTCTGATATTAGCCATTTTGTCTAAGGATCGCAGAGACCTTATGGGCCAGATGGCATTTAGAAACTCAAAACTGGGGATCCCTGGGTGGTTCAGCAGTTTAGTGCCTGCCTTCGGCCCAAGGCGTGATCCTGGAGTCCCGGGATCGAGTCCCACGTCGGGCTCCCGGCATGGAGCCTGCTTCTCCCTCTGCCTGTGTCTCTGCTTCTCTCTCTCTCATAAATAAATAAAAATCTTAAAAAAAAAAAAAAGAAACTCAAAACTGGGTGGCATCTATACTCATTACTATTAGGGTATCCTTACTGCTAAACCCTCTCTAGCAGACAGAAATAATAAATACACAAACCCATACACAAATACACTTATTTCCATATGTAGGCATCATTTATATTCAATTTCTAAAGTTTTACTTCCATTTCTAAAATAACACTACAGGATTGATTTTAGCTTTCCACCTTTCCTGATTTGTAACCCTCTCCTTTTCTTCTCCTCATGGCCATCTGATGGTTTCAATATTAGCCTTTTTAATATTTTTCTATAGTTCCCCGAGTCTGCTAATTTTTTCCCTGTCCTTTGTCCTCTGCTTAGATTAAATAATTTCTATTAATCTATCTTCAAGGTCACTGACTCTTCTTTTTTTGGTATCTCCATTTTGTTATTGAGCCACCATGCACAATGTAAAATGTATCATATATTATGCTTCTTAAATTTGGCTCTTTTTTTTTTTTATAGTTGAGAAGCTTTATCTCTCCATTGAATTCAAAAGTGGTCACCCTTACATTCTGGAAATGGTTATGGCAGCTTCTTTACAGTCTTTGATGATTCTAACAATCATGTCATTTCCGAGTTTGCACCTGCTGAGTGTTAGATTTTGCTTGTTCTTTTTGTGGTGAGTAATTTTGGATTATGTCCTGGACCATTTGAATATGCCGTGAGATCCTGGGTCCTTTAGGTATCTGGAGAATACGGAGTTTGGTTTTGTGTCAGCAGATTGCCAATCTGGAGAAGTCAATGTCTCAAGCCCTGACCCACCAGCATTGGTAGAAGGGGGTGGGATAACCTAGGTTAACAGGTGTCTGGTGATTTGTTAGCTGGGAAGCTGCTGGATGGGAATGGGGACAGCCCCACCCATAAATAAGACTCTCTAAAGGCTGAGCTATCCTCTCCTTGTGCCGACTGGTTTGATCCAGAGAGAGGTCTGACTGGAACAGCTCGAGTTAGGGTCCCACCATCTGGGCGTGTGTCCCAGGACTTGAGAACCCATGGCCCGTGGTCTTCTCATCAGTGGAAGCTAGGATGGACACTATAAGAAGGGCTAGCTGTTTCCATGCATATGTTCACCAAGCTTTTCTGCACCAGCTTGCTGATGCTTTGCTTTCCTCCTTGACTTGCTTTGCTCCTCCTTCCCCGACACCCCCATCTTGCCTTCCCATTGCCTGCCATTCCTCGGCATCAGCATTATCTTTTCTGCCTGGATTTGCCAATGTGTATTAAAAATTCTTAAAACAGTCATGAACAAATGTTAGCCTCCTTTGCCATTGGTTTGGTCCAGTTTACCCTATTTACCCACAAAACAAGGACTTTAAAGTGATGTTCCTATACTCTGACATCTAACGGTTTACAGATGAACTTAAGGTAACATTTGCATAAAATAAGGCACCGACTGGAAGCCCACAGTTCTGTAGGTGTCGACAAATGCGAACACTCAAGTGCCCACCAGGGTAATTAAGATAAAGCCATTTCTATTATCCTAAAAGGAGGGTCAGTGACATCCCAGGTGGCTTCATAAGGGAAGAGGCCCCTCATGTCCCCATGCTGCTTGACCTCTCTTTCCAGCTCCGCTCTTACCCATCCTGTCTCCCATTTCTCCTTCCAGACACCGCCTGTCCCACCAGATGCCCCAAGAGCCCCGTCCCTCAGTGAGTTCTGATTGCTTGGGTGCCCGGCTTGGGGCAGTGAGCCCTCCGGGGTCCCCCGGAACGGGGCCGTCTGCTGCGCAGCGCTCAGATGCCTGGCAGGCCCGGAGCCACGGAGCCCACACACCGGGGGGCAGCCCTGCTCGCGTGGGGCCCGGTGCCCGCGGACCCGCCGCACACCGGCCAGGCCCACCTGGTGCCCCCCCAGGGCCGGGTGAGGCCGGGGGGAGGGTCAGGCCTTGGCTGCGCCCTTGCGCCTCGCACACTGTCCGCATCGGCGTCCCGCCCAGCACCCCTGTGCTGTGCCCCAGCCCCCCCACCTCCTGCGCCCCAGACGCCCACCCTCCCAGCTCCCCTGTGTTGTGCCCCAGCCCCCCCAGCTCCTCCTCTGCTGTGCCCCAGCCCCCTCTGCCGTGCCCCAGGCCCCCCCTGCTGTGCCCCAGCCGCCCACCCTCCCAGCTCCCCTGTGCTGCACCCCAGCCCCCCAGCGCCCCCGCTGCGCACCAGCATCCACCTGACTGGCCCACCTGCTGCGTCCTGCTGTCTCCGGACCTTCCCCCAGGCCTGGCCCGGGAGCTCCCCGTCTTCTGCCCTCGGTGGAGAATCTCCCCTCTGTTCGGGGCGCAGACCTCGTCTGGGGTTTTCCCGAGAACCCGCCCCGAAGGCGCTGGCGCCCCAGGCTGGCGAGCCGCGGCCCCCGGTCCGCACCGTCACCCGCTGTGCACCGCCTCCGTGGGGCCTTCCCCGCACAGCCGAGGCCCCTGGGCCTGTGGGCGCCGCCTGTCCTCCCTGGTTTCGGGCACCCTCCCTCCCCGGGACCCCCAGGACCCCGCCTCCGCCTCCCAGGGCCGCCCCAGCACGCCTGAGAACCACCTGCGGCCCCTGGACCCAGCTGCGGCCAACCTGCACCCCCCCCCCCCCCGCGGGCTTTCACCTCCGGGCTCCCTGGACGCCGCGGCGCCGCCTGCTCCTGCAGGTGCCTGACTGCACAGCAGGTAAGCCCGGCCCGCCTGGCCCAGGTCCCGGCCTCCCCTGACTGGCACCTCCCTCTCAGCCCTTGAGCCCCCCCTGCCCCGAGGAGGCCCCTGAAGAGCAGCAGTGGTGCCGCGTCCCTGCCTCCTCCGCCGCCTGGGCTCCCAGGCCTGCCTCTGACCCACGCCGCTGGCCGGGGTGTGCCCCCCCCCCGCCCCGGCTGCCTTCCCCTCTGGGCTTCTGCGGCTCCGGGGAGAGCAGCGACCCGCACCTAGGCCCCTGCACCGAGGCGCCCTGCAGCTGAGGCGCCCTGCAGCCGAGGCCCCTGCACCGAGGTGCCCAGCACCTAGGAGGCTCCTGCCTGGAGGGCGAGCCCCTGGGCCTACCTGTTCAGGGGATAGCATCACACCACTGCCAGGCGCTACTCCTGGTCGCATCTCCAGTCCAGGTACCCAAGGCGCACCTGTCCAGGCACTCCTGGGACCCACAGCTCCATCCCTATGACCGGAGGCCCCCATATTTCTGTCTCCGTCAGAGCACCTGGGCCCCCTTGTTGGGATAACAGGTGATGCAGTAGGAGGGGCCAGCATCCTGTCTGTGCCCGGAGATCCCCCCCCCCCCCCCCCCCCCCGCATTGCCACCAATACATGAGCTTCACAGGGAGCTTATGGCCAGAGCACATCTGTTTCAGTCAGAGGGGAGAACACCCTGCACTTTTAGAGCACCCTGGGCCCTTCCAGGCTTACTTTCCGCGAGAAGGCCAGGGACTCCCTTGGACTTTGTGGGGAGCCTACGCTACTGGGAAAATGCCTGTGCTGGGAAGCCCTTCTGCCCCTGCCTCTGGTGAAGCGAATGTGGCTCTGATGTGAGCATGGCAGGCAGCTGTCGTGCTTTTAGGGCACCCTCCTCACCCTGCCCAGGGCTTCCCTGGAGACCGCTGTTAGGCCTCCAAGCCATTCATCTTCCTCTAGTGTAAGATCGGGGACCTCAGCCACCAAGCAGATAAGGTTTCCTCGGGGAATGTCACCACAGCACCCTGGGACCGGACCTTGCTCCGCTGCTCGGAGGCTCAGTACCTCTGGGCCATGTCAGACAATCCTCGCCTCTCTTTGTCCTCTTCATGAAGTAAGCTGAAGGCCCAGCACCTCATGGTGTGTGTGTGTATACGCGTGGTAGAGGGAGCGGGCCCAATGGGGCCAGCCAGGTGTCTGCAAACTGGCTTTGAGGATTCCACTGTGTAGACTAGGAGGGAGCTCTGTGCACACCATCAACCAAGCCATCCTTGGCTTTGACTGTTGGCCTGGCACGTCCAAGCTCTGAGCCAGAAGTGACAGGACACCCACTGCAGCCTTTAGTTGCCCCTTTCCCTTTGCCTCAGTGGGCTCTTATCTATCCCCAGTTGTCAGTATGCAAAGCATTGTTCTCCTTAATCTGCCCTCTGTTCACATGTCTTTTACTCTTTGATGCAATTGCAGAAAGAATTGACTTGTCCCCATCGGTGATGTGTTGAGCCAGACTGAACTGTGCCAGGTGTCCCGGGCCCGGTGACCAGAGGAGCCCAGAGGAGTGAGAGGAGAGATGGTCACCCTTGCCTCTCTTCTCTTGGCCTCTGTCTCACCGTTCTCACCCCACTCTAGGCTGCACCATTCCTGATGTAGGTTAGGAAACCATAATTCACAATGTTAGTCTTCGTAAAATGTTTAAGTGCCTTTTTTTTTGGTGCCTTTTTATTTAATTAAACTTAGATAAGTGCCCACACATCCCCACCTTAGCCAGAGAGGATGGACTTGGCATCCAGGCTCTTAGACCTGGAGGGACAAAAGGAGAAGGAGCTCATATCTGCTCTGTACTGGTTGAAAAGTTTAATTCTAGGATGTTAGGTGTTACTCAGAAGTTGCCATTTTCCTTAACATGTCAGAAAAATAACTGGATAAGGCCTAGCTGGAAAAAAAAAAAACCTGTCTGGCTCTAGTCTAAACCACTAAAATATCAAATTGCAAGACTTACAGTTTCACCCAGTTATAGCTGACCCTAAAGTTACGCTGCATCTCCACTGGACCTAATTGCTGAAGGTGCAATCTTTTCGAAGCTATTTCATGACTCATGAGCATCAGCCCAAGATGAGGGAAAGAGACGGGCACAAGCATTTCTCTCTGCTCCTTTCAATTTATCTTATTAAACATTTCTTCAGTGAGGACTCTACCTCTGACCCTGGGGTGGGTTCTAGTGACATAGAGTGGAAGCACATCTCTTGCCCCTGAAGGATTTATAGTATGGTGGAGGAGACAGATGTGTGACCAAAAATGACAGCTGCAGGTGCACATGATAGGTTTATGGGAGCAGCTAAGAAGGACATGATCCAAGCCTGAGATGTTAAGACTTGAATTGTGTCTTCAAGAAGAGGAAGCATCCGGTTGGAGAAGGGGACTTCCAGGTCAAGGAAAAAAATGTGTGGCAAGTCAGAGAATGAAGAGCGATCGTGAGCCAGTGGGATGCCAGGCAGGTGGGCAGGTGTGGCTGAGAAACCCAAGCTGAAAAATGCAGCTGCAGGGAGAGCAGGAGTGGGGCTGGGGGTAGGGGTGGGGGGCAGATGATAGACAAAGCCATGTTCCAAGAGAGGGGAGGTGTCCATTATCCTCGAAGTGTAGAGTATCATGAAAGGATCATAGACAAAACTGCGACAAGATTATCCGCAGGTTCTAGAATCATCCCTGTGGCGGGTGTTAGCATTGAACAGGTACCCGAGTAGAGGCAAGGAAGCAGGTGGGAAACTTTGCAGTGACTCAGGGCAAGACCAGACAATGAGCTCCTGGGCCAGAAGGGCGACAGTGGGGATGGTGAGAATGTAAAATGAGGTAGGGGGTGAAGTGACAACGAGAATAATACCAGGCCTGCTCTGCCCATGCGGTTTGGAGAAATGGACACGAGGAGTTTTGGCAAAAATATAATCAGTTTAATTTTTGATAATACGAGATGCTTTTGGAAGGTACAGGTAATATCCAGAAGGTACTTCATATGCTCATCAATTTCTGGTATCTATTTAGCCTCTGGGGCGGCATAAGGACTCTTCTAAATAGTAGCGTCAATTATGAAAAAGGCCAAGTCCTCACCTCTGTGGGCCTACATTCTAGCTTGAGGGGAGAAAAGAAACAACAGGCATAATCAGTGCAGTAAGCAGGAGGTTAGCAGGCGCCGGTGCTTCGGGGAGGGGCCCTTGGTGCCACGGGCCTGACCCTCGCAGAAGTGCCCACTCGGGCTGGCCCCGAGCCCAGGCACCGCTGGCTCCCCTTGGTTTTTCTAGTCCCCCGGGAAGGCCACCTGCAGCGTTTACGGGTCATCAATGAGATGGTTGGAGGTGAGAGCACACAGGCAGATGGGGGGAAGCAGGGAGGCCAGACTCCCGCCCCCCCCCCCCCCCGTTGCCTGTGGCTGATTTCTCCTGGGAGAATATAATGGTGTGATTGGGAATCCTAAAACTTGGTGTGGAATCACATTAGGAATAGCGGTTAGAAACCCAGAGGCCAGGAGCTTGGTGTGTCAAGATGCATTGCAAAGAAAACTCACAATGATCTGTTTATCCACCCACCCTAGGTGACCAAAATTTAAAGCTATTGAGTAAAAAAATCACATTACTCTGCTGCGCTTTCCTGGCCTAATTGTGCTGGGACTGTGCATGGCCCTTGTGAGCCCTGCGTCTTGGTGTGATCGTCTGTCTGGGACTTCTGTCCTGTACTGGAAAGGAGAGAGCGTGTCCTTAAAAAGGCTGGGATACCTTAAAATGGCTCTTAAAGAGAGGGTCTGAATTAATTTCAGAAATGCCCTGCACAAAACTCAAAGATGTGACCTAACCTGTCCCAATCTCACCTCCCTTATCTGCAAAATATAAGAATACTCCCTACCTTCCAAAGCAAGCAGATCATATGCAAGCAATTTGGGAAATATAAAATGCAGACAGTGACGAATCGGAGAGCCTGAGTTCGGCTCCTGCCTCTAGCACCCAATAGATCTTGGAAGAACACTTGATCTCTCTGTAAGATGAAACTAATAGCAATGCCAAATGTATTTGGTTGCTGTGAGAGTTAAATTAATTATTATACACAAGGCACTAAAACCTGGCACATCAGAGGTGAGACATAGGCAGCTGCCATTTTATTATAAAATGTTAATAATTCGCAGACATTACTAACATATTCTATTAATCTGTAATCCCTTCAAAGTTGACATGATGGTGCTGTGAGTCTGAGATCCAAGTAAAGATTTAATCGGTCAGCTGAGAGTGTTTGTTGGGAAAATAAATAGTTGATCTTTCTCACTTTCTTTTCTATAATTACCATCTCCATTTGGCTCTCCAGGGAACAGATTAATTAATATCGCTAAGAGGTAGCAGAGACCTGAATAGGACGCTTTGAAATGTTTCTCCTATGGAGAACTCCACCTCCAGTTGGATTTGCACATGAAGTGTGAAGAAAGCCTGTCCCCCAGGATGCCTGAAGTGGAACCCAGTATGGTGTCCAGAGGTGTCCAGAGTAGAGCACCCACTGGATGGAAGGAAGCTGGAGCAGTGGGAATGGATTTATTGCTTCTTATCCAGGAGATGCTTGTTAACAGTTACTTGCTCTTCGCTGAAAGGTCAAGTGCAGACAGATTTGACAGCAGAGAGTGATTCCACATTAAAGACCTAGGGAGGGAATGTCTGTCACTTCTCTTAGTAGTTGCCAGCAGTTGTCTGGTGCTGCAGTGACATGTCTCTGAGTATTACTGAGTTGAACCGTAGACTAGGCTCAGGAGGGGCCCTTGTAGGTCAGAGGATGGACAAGGTTAAAGGGAAAGAACAGCTTTTGCTTCAATTCAATAATTGGACATGAGCTATTCCCATTCCATCTCCCTCGGGGTCACTGACACATTGAAGAAAGGATGTAAAAATGGGGCCACCATGGTGGTGATGGGATCTAGGACTGAGCCTATGCCGGGTGGTAGATGGAATTAGCTTTCTATTCCCTCTCCTCAGAGTT